GTGACCCTATGTGGGACAGAGACCACTACTCAAATTCAAAACAAAGACTTAGTTACCTTGAAAGCAGAAAGGAGTTTATTGCTTTCTCATGAGAAAGGGTACCGCCCCGGTCGCCCTAATGGCGCAGGCCAGGGAGGACGCCTACTGGTACAGGTTGGTTACAGAAAGCAAGGATTATTTATAGCCAAATGTGAGTTCCTCCTCCCAAAACCTCCTTCTCCTTATCCCATTGGCTGGGCTTCAGGGGGCACAATCTATTCACGGAAATCTTCCCCAGCAACAGAGTATACAAGTTTGCCCGGTGACAAGAAAAGGCAGGAAGTCTTGCAGTTTAGGTTGGGTGACAAGAAAAGGCAGGAAGTCTTGCAGTTTAGGTTGGGAGGGTAGGGCTAGTCTATTCTTTCTGCTACTTAAAAACAGTATCTGAGGGGGTTTTGACAAGGTCAGAAGGGAGTGTGTTTCAACAATACAATTAGAAAGTCATCTACAACAGGTGCCTCCAATCTCTGTCTTCCCACTCTTCTTACCATCTGTCTTCTGACCTTATCTCTCTCCAAATGACCACTGATCTCCTAATTGCTGCCCTTTGTGAGAACTATTAACAAAAACTATTAACCCTTTGAGGAGGCTTCACTTGTGAGAGATCATCTCTCACAACCCTGAGCAAGCAACCCCGATTGCCTCACCAAAAAGCAAAAACAAAACAAAATATAAAATGTCAAAAATAAACAATAAAATTTAAAAATAAAATATTATTTGTAGGCTCTTTTTTTAAATTATAAAATATTTAAGAGTCTACTTACTGAAACAAAACCAGGAACTCTATGAACACAATTATAAAACACTTTTCACACAAATAAAGTCAGATCGAAATAACTGGAAAAACTTCAGTTGCTCATGGGTAGGCCAAGCTAATATAATAAAAATGACAATTCTACCTATGCTAATTTACTTATTCAGTGCCATACCAATCAAACTACCAAAAAATATTTTACAGAGCTAGAAAAAATAATAAGAAAATTCATTTGAAAGAACAAAAGGTCCAGAATATCAAGGGAACTAATGAAAAGAAATGCAGGGGAAGATGGCCTAGCTATTCCAGATCTTAAATTGCATTATAAAGCAGCAATCATCAAAACTATTTGGTACTGGCTAGGAAATAGAGTGGTGGATCAGTGGAATAGGTTAGGTACACAAGACACAGTAGTCAACGACTGTAGTAATCTACTATTTGATAAACCCAAAGACCCCAGCTTCTGGGATAACAACTCACTATTTGACAAAAACTGCTGGAAAAACTGAAAGATATTATGGCAGAAACTAAGCATAGACCAACATCTTACACTATATACCAAAATAGAGTCAAAATGGGTTCATGATTTAGATATAAAGGCTGATACTTTAAGCAAACTGGGAGAGCAAGGAAGAGTTTACCTGTCAGATTTGTGGAGAACAGAAGAATTTATGACCAAACAAGAGATAGAGAACATTATGAAATGCAAAATGGATAATTTTGATTACATTAAATTGACAAGTTTTTGCACAAAGTCAATACAACTAAGTTTAGGAGGGAAACAGAAAACTGGGAAAGAATTTTTACAACCAGTGTATCTGATAAAGGCCTCATTTCTAAAACATGTAGAGAACTAAATCAAATTTATAAGAATACAAGTCATTCTCCAATTGAGAAATGTTCAAAGGACATGAACAGGCAGTTTTCAGATGAAGAAATTAAAACTATCTATAGTCATATGAAAAAATGCTCTATGGGCAGCTAGGTGGCGCAGTGGATAGAACACTGGCCCTGAAGTCAGGAGGAGCTGAGTTCAAATCCGACCTCAGACCAAAAACTTGACATTTACTAGCTGTGTGACCCTGGGCAAGTCACTTAACCCCAATCGCCAAAAAAAAAAAAAAGAAAGAAAGAAAAAATGCTCTAAATCACTATGGATTAGAGAAATGCAAATCAAAACAACTCTGAGGTACCACATCACACCTATCAGATTGGCCAACATGAGAAAACAGGAAAATGATAAATGTTGGAGAGGATGTGGGAAAATTGGAACACCAATGCATTGTTGGTAGAGTTGTGAAATGATCCAACCATTTTGGAGAGCAATTTGGAACTATGCCCAAAGGGCTATAATAATGTGCATAGCCTTTGACCCAGCAATGGCACTTCTAGAGCTGTAACCCAAGGAGATCATACAAATGGGAAAAGGACCCACATGTACAAAAATATTTATAGCAACTCTTTTTGTGGTAGCAAAGAATTGGAAATTCAGAGGATGTTCATCAGTTGGGAAATGGCTGAACAAGTTGTGGTACATGAATGTAATGGAATACTACTGTGCTATAAGAAATGATGAACAGGCTGACTTCAGAAAAACCTGGAAAGACTTGTATGGTCTGATGCCGAGTGAAGTGAGCAGAACCAGGAGAATGTTGTACACAGTAACAGCCACATTATGCAATGACTAATATTGATAAACTTAACCCTTCTCAGCAATACAAGGATCTAAGACATCTCCAAAGGCCTCATGCTATCCACAGCCAAAGAAAGAACCATGGAGTTTGAATGCAGATCGAAGCGTACGATTTGCTATTTTTTTTCTTCTGTTGTGTTTTGTTTCCTCTTTCTGGTGGTTCCTCCAATTCATTCTAAATCTTACTTACAACATCACTAATGTGAAAATATGTTGAATAGGAATGTATGTGTATAGCCTATATCAGATTGCACGCTGTCTTGGGGAGGGAGGGGGAGAAAAATTTAAAACTCAAAAGCGTATGGAAGTGATTGTTGACAATTCAAAATAAATTAATTTTTAAAAATCTTGTTCTGATTGTCCAATGATTCAAAAATTTTATCTCCTTGATCTGTTTTCCAGGTCAGTTGTTTTTGTTATGAGATATTTTACATACTTGCCCTCCCCCTCAGTTTTTCAATCATTTAACTTTGTTTTAATATTTTTTTGTTGTCTCACAAAGTGATTGCCTTCTCTTTGGTTCATTCGAATTTTCAGCAAGTTTGTTTCTTGGGCAAGAGGTTTTGTGCCTCCTTTGCCAAGCTGTTAATTCCTTTTTCAGTTCTTTCTTTCATAGCTTTCCTTTCTTTTCCATTTTTTCTCTCAAGCGCCCTCGTTTTATTTATTACAAAATTTTTTTTAAACTCTTAAAAAACAAAACTTATCTCTTGCTTCATCTCCTGTAGGAACTGCCGCTGAGTTCGTGCCTTTGAGCATTGCTAGTAGATGTTTTGGAGCCATTCATGTTTTCTGCATTTGTGTCTTGACTGGACCTCCCAACATAATAGCTCATTATAGTGTGACTCCCCCCCCCCCCTTCTTCTAGCCTACCTCCTGACTTCAGACTGGATGTTAGGGCTCTGCTCTGCCATCTTCTATAGGGAATGTCTGGGCTGTTCCTACTACTGCCTTCTCTGGGCAGGCTGGAGATATATGCTCCCAAAGGGATCTGATCCAGAGCAGTCTGTGGCTCCCCTGGTCTGAGTTCTACAAGTTCCTGACCTGGGTTTGGGTCTGGGCAAGAAGAGATGCTGCTGGATTCTGACCCTGTCAGTCACCTGGAAAGCTCTGTTGGTTGAAGGTGGCAGATTGGTATGGGTTTTCTGCCTTGGTTATTTTTCTGCAGGCTGGGCTAGACACTGGAAGACAGATTTTGCTCTGCCCCTGGACTCTAGGTCCACCACACCACCATGGCTGCTGGTAGCTTCTGGGCTTCCCCCTCACTTGGTCCTACGTCTTTGGCCTAGCATGGTGCAGGAGGTAACAAAGTTACCAGCTGGCATCTGTGCCCACAACAGTAGCCTGTTATGGGCTGGGACCTGCTTTTGCGCTGTGCTTGGGCTCTCCGAGGGCTCCTGTCCTGAGGGTCTGCAGACCCCCTCTATCCCCTTATGCCAACGCTGGCGGGACAAAGGACTCACAGCCACTCTTTCCAGATTTCTCCATCGGGCACCCTGCTTCCTTTTACGCTGCCATCTTGGCTCTGGCCGCTGGAAGACGTCTTTTCCTTTTCACAGAACTCCCGGCACGAAATATCTGTAGGTTTGTTTTATAGTTTTACAGTTTCATAGTTTGTAGTTTTACTTGTAAGAGTTCTCCTCATTGTAGGCAGGTCATCACGCCTGCACGCGGGCACTTTAATTCTGAGCTTCTTTGGGACACGGGGAGCACAAAAGGAAGGCTCTGAGTGAGGACAAACAACGGGGCGATGGGACGGCAGGCGGAGCCCAACTCCCCGGGTGGGGATCCCAGCGCACTTTTCCGGGTGGGAAGAGGTTTGTTTAGAGGATTAAAAAACCTGGTATCCATCTCCCCCTTCTCCCATGTCAGGCCTGGCAGGGCACCCTGAGAACTTCACCCACAACTGAGAGAGCCAGGGGCAGAGGTCCAGCCCCTGGACCTCTAGGTCCAGCGCTTGGACCTTCCCAGGTGGAGGCTGGCGGTGGTCACCATGGGGTGGCAAGCACGGAGGTGCCCTGGACCTGAGTTTCCAGCCTCCAGAACACCCCCACCCTAGGGCAAACTGCGGGAGGCCAAGCGAGGGAGTCCCGCGCATGCGCCCAGCTCACCCGCGCCGCCGCACTACATTTCCCAGAAGGTCTCGCGCTTCCAGGACGCTGGTTGCCTTGAAAATGGTGTTACCCTTGGCTCTTAGAAGGGCGGGGATTGGAGGACGCGCCTCACGTGGCTTCCGCTTCCTCCTCGTGCCCCTCCCGCTCCGATTGTCGGAGCGGCGATCAGAGGCCTGGGTTCTGCGGGAAGTGGGGAGGGCGAGGGAGGCGGGGAGGCGGTGGCGCCTCCGGGGAGAGACCTGAGGCCGAGGCCTGAGCCTCCCGCCCCTCTGCGGGCGCCTCCCGGGCTCCGCCCCCTGCCCGCCCTCCCCCCTCCCCCCCCTTGGCGTAACCAGTAGGCGCTCCCTAAATGCTCCCTCTCTCCCTCTCCTTGGCCCCACCCGCCACGTCTGGGGTAAAGCGCCCCCTCCTCAGGCAGCCCCCCCGTTTCCTAGCCTCGCTGGCTGACGCCCTGGGTTTCCACGCCCTGCGTTTCTAGCCTCCGTGCATTTGCTCAGGCTGTGCCGGGAAGGGCATTCTCCGTCTTTGCCCTCGGAGCCTCAGCTCAAGGCTTGGCCCTTGGGAGAGCCCTCTGCCCTCCCCCTCCTCTGCATCTTTGGTCCCCGTCACCCAGCCTTGCTCATCTTAGTGACAGCCCGCCATTTGTTCACCAGAGTGGACCTTAAGGCACGTGCTACTCCTGGCCATTGTCCAGATGAGGAAACTGAGGCTGGGGACATGAGGCGTCCAACCCAGCTGGAGTCCCATTCCAGGGATTCCAGGGCCTCCTCCTCCCTGTTGGAGGCCCTCCTTGGTTTTGTAGCCCTGCCCGGGGCTACGGGGGGGATGGCCAAGCCCTGGGGAGCTCCTCTCATGGTGTGTTTTTCCTCTCCAGCTCCGCCTTCTCAACGCTCAAGAGAAGGGAGCTTTGCGGCAATAGCCATGGCCCCTTTGTTCCCCAGATCCAGAGCCCACGAGGTGAGTGGGGGGGTGGTGACCTTTCACACGCGGACACTTTGGTTGCCAGAGGTCAAAGATGAGAAGAATTAAGTTCTCCAGGCCAGGGCAAAGGCTCTTTGATGTCACGGTTGCTCATTTGCTCATGAGAAAGCTGGGAATGTTAGCGTTAGTAAATGGAGCTGTTTTTATGATCATAGGGCAGATGTGTGTTGCCTGGCTGTGGCTTGGTGGCAGAGATGAGGATTTCTTTATGCTCGCCGTAAGTCAGAGTGAGGTTTCTGCCTTGAAACCCTAACCCGAACCCGAACCCGGACCCGAACCCGAACCCGAACCCGAACCCGAACCCTAACCCGAACCCGAACCCGAACCCGAACCCGAACCCTAACCCGAACCC